AAAATTCATAAATAAAATTTTTCAATCATGTATTGACACGTGTCATGTTCTAATTGGATAGTTAAATTTATTTAATTGAATTAAAATAGTGACTAAATTGATAGAATATATAAATATTAAGGACCAAATATATAATTATGCCAGTTTTATTAACGGACACGTCACCAAATCTGTTAAAATTAACGGCGCGGTGGTCTGATTGAATAAATTAAAAAGTTTTATCGTCGAATTGAGGCAAAAAATAATTCGGTGGCAAGATTGATTAATGACCATAGTTTGATGGTCTCCCGTGTAGTTTACCCATTTTTTTTCAACTACAAAAGAATGATATTTTGAAGGAAAAAATTAAGACATTTTAGTCCAAAATACCAGGAATGTAACAATACATAAGGAAAGTGAGATAATCACATTCCCAATAATATATCTCTAAATTACCACTGTTGGAAATAACTTATTACTCGGAGTTGAGAATATTTGTCAACCAAACGGGGAATGACATTTCATTCCCTCGGTAATGTGAGATACCCTGAACTAAATACCCTTTCACGGTGACTACTTGTTCCTGTTTATTAAAAAAATTAGGAGCATTTATTAATTTAAGAATTAGTTTGCTATTTTTTTAGAGAAATAGTTTGCCAATTTGAACGGTGAGAAACCGTCATGTTAATTTGGCATCTTAATTGTCTAACTTTTTGATATTTTTATAACAAATTTTAAAAATCATAATTTTTTTAAAATTATAGTTTATTTTAAAGTTATAGAAATAATTTATAAATTTATAATTTTTAAAAATATTTTATAAATCACAAAATTTTAATTTATATTTTTTAAGTTAGTGTTACCCAGTCTAGTCGGATCAATAATGTTTTTTTAAAGTTAAATGATTACAAAGTAATATATTCTAATTACTATAAACCATTTGACATTGAACGATCAATCATCCTTGTAGTTGCTAGTGCTCGAACCCGTGATATATAGGAACAACAACATTCATTTAACCGGAAACAATTAACGAGTTAATATGTTTGTAAAATTTAATTTCGTATTAACCTAACATGTGATAATTTAGTATAGATTAACTAAGTTTTGCTTGTCAATAATAATAATAAAAGTAAGTTTTGTAGGCAACAGTATAAATCCATTAGGCTTAACTTGGTTAATTAAGTCTATTTAACATGTTTCCATTTGGACACAAAATAACCTACTTGTTAAAAGGTATATAGTTTTGATATCAATTTTTATATTAAACCAAATTGTGGTTATAAGAAAGGGTAAAATATAACATTAATCATCAAATTATTACATAATGAATAAAAATATAAATTTAATGATAATGTCGTTAAAAATCAATATTCGAAATAAATAATAATAATAATTTGATGACTAATAATGTAGTCTATCCTATAAGCAATCAATTTAGAATGTGAAATATTTGTAGTTTGTACACCATGAGGCTGGGCTTCAATGGAGCGATCCACAGTTCAGGCCTAGTCGTAGTCCGAATTCCCAGGCCTCAATCCATATCCAATTTGTCGTCAATGCAAGAATCTGCAGACCCAAAGATTATCCTCAGCTGCGGGACCAAGTGACAACGAAGGTGATAATGACAATTATTCATTGCATGATAAAATCATTGGTTTTGGTCTCGGTCCCATAAATCACACTCACATGATGACAAAAGAGAGACTTCGATGTAATTTCCCCTTGTCAGAACAATCTCTGTAAGCAATCCGCCATGGACACATTAGCAGCTCGATTCAAGCTCATCGTTTTGCCCCGTCTATCCATTTCTTTGTTTCTTTTACCTTTTCTTCAGGCCACTGATTTCAATTACTGCGGTCAGTTTCCTTCTTTCTTTCTGCTAGATTTTTTGTCCCCCCTTTTCAATCTAAGATGAACTGATGTATGTTAATCCCTAGACTCTAGCTTTTGCAGTTGTTTTACTTATTTTATCCTTTTTTTTGGGTGTGTTCAATCGCTTTGTTTTTCTTTTAATACTTGCCTGAGTTCCTGGATTGAAACCAATGCAGATAAGAAAGGTAATTATGTTGTAAAAGTCAAAGGAGTAGATATATCACCAAATCCATGGTTAGAGGCAAACCAGCCACCTTCGCCATTTCAGCTTCTACCGGTAACTTTCAATTCTTGCAATTTCTCACCAAATTCATGTATGCATGCATGCTTAGGATTTGCTTAGTTCTCTATAGTCTGGATCATAAGTTAAAGATAAAAAAAAAATTTCCTACGCTTTTTGTGTGGTAAGTTTAGAAGTATGCAAGGATAATCTTTATCTATGATACCGGTTAGTTTTTTTTTTTTATAGTTTTTCCTTGTATCTAGGTCTTTGGAAGATCATTCTTATTTCCGCATCCGAAAATATGAAGTTCTGAAGGCATAGGCTAAAGAAATCTGGTTCACGGTCTTCAATCCTCAATATACGCTGATGTTGATTTCACAGTCAAACTCAATCCTGAAATCCCTAATAACGGCCCCATACTGTTCAAGTACCAGCACAGCTCGTAAATCCATATCATTAATTCAGTAATTCTTTTGAAACCTCATCATTAATTAATTCTTCCCAGTATTCTTAATCTTTATGATCTATAAAACCCTACATCATTATCCAACTTCTCAAGTAAATACACTTCTAATCTTAGTGGGATGGTGTTGAGTTTTAATGGAAAAAACCATTTTCTTCAAAATCTTTAGCTCTTAAAGAAAATTCTTGGCATCCAGAAATGTTTTGGTTTGTGTCAGTGAATGCCTTTTTTTTCTTCGCATCCATGGTTCACACTTCACAGAGATGGTCTTCTTTGACATTTCATGAATGGATATGTTTTGCAGGTAAAGCTATCACCTGTGGCAAAGCGGTGATCAATGTTTCCTACTTTGGCATTCATATCCGTTAAGAAACTCACGACCTTTGCGAGGAAACATCCTGCCCTGTTGCAGTTGGCAACTTTGTGCTCTCTCACAATCAAGTTTTACCTGTATTTACTCCACCAGTAAGCTTCACTTAACTGGGATAAACTATTTATTTTCGAAACTATTTTCAGAACCATACCACTTGCAAGGTTCCCTCATAACTTGACTTTTTTAGACATTCAGCTAACCTTTTCTTTGATAATCAGTTAGAGAAAGCACTGGTTTTTCGCAATGCTTCATTATTGATCTTAGTATCTCCCATTTCTTTCTTTTATGTATATTTGGTGTCTAGTTTTGTTTCTATCTTCTCTCTCTTGATATATATGTTTGTAAAGGACTCGTTTTCCTCGACTTTCGTGCAGGCACAATAAGAAAATTCATAAACACCTTTCTTTAGCCTGCGTGACATCCTTAGCTTGTAACAAACTTTATAAATGTTGTCATAACATGGATAGTTGCATTCATGTACATATATATATATATAGTGTTGCAATTACTTCCTTCCACCAGATTTCGTTTGTCGTTCAAGCAAGAAAAAGAAGACTACAACGTTAGCAATATGGGACGAGACGTGCTATCTGACTTTCAGTTTCTCAGAGCAAGATGTTCACTGCTACTTTCACGTCATGCTTGGCTAATCGTAACTGTGATGTGCTCCTACAGTCCTACCATTAGCACTGGATTAGGAACAAGAAATAACTGAAACAAACGTAAAAAAATCTGGATTTATCGAAAAAAATAATGGAACTTAGAGAACGAACTAAGCATGGGTTATTAAGAACTTGAGCTTACTGCAGTCATGAGTGGAGATTTTTTCTTGTCTTCGGCTAACTTGCTTCCTTTATTCGATTGATGGATATTTCTTAATTTCTTCTTCTTTAAAATTTGGTTTGACCTGAGGTTGTTAATTGATTTCGGAATTTTATCATTTCGATAACTAATTCCTTGATCATAGTTTGTCATATGTTCTGAAAGTCCTATGTGGAAAATGTACTCCGGTTGGTTGCATACTTAAACTGTCATTAGAGACTAGAATCCAGAGGCTTATCCTTTCTTGTTGGCACTTTACAAACTCCATCTAGCTTGCTTTTTGGTTTGATCCAGAAAGAGAAGCACGGGCAAAAGTGAAACAGGATGCACCGGTTTCAAACTGCAGAACTAATTAGATTCTTTTAGGCATCATTTACTAACCAGTGACATTACAGTTAACATATAGGAGATTATCTGATTATTTATTTATTTTTTGCAGCGTTCCTACACACTTAAGATGACAATATCAGGTGAGGGGATTCAAGTGTTAACTTGCATTTCCTTCAACTTCAAAATCGGGTTTGGTGCTTATGGATCTTCAGTCTCTGATAGTTGATCAGCTACCTGTATATGTATAACCAGTGTCGTGGATTGTAGTGGGGTGCTTTCTCATTACTTACGAACGGATATCGAGTTCTACAATATTTTGAACTTTTATTCCATATTATCATTCTCGAGTCTTGACTGTACCAAATCACATTTAGCAGGAAGATATCCGACTGGTGTGAGATATTTCATGAGACAAGTATGCGTACATGGAAGTCACCCGAGTGGAAACTGACTTTGTGTCGTCGCATGGGTTGCATTCAGATGGAAAGTAAAAGAAAATTGATTCGTCAGTTATCAACTAATACTGGTATGCTTTAATTTGGTTAAAAGAACACAACAAAACCAAAAAAAAAAAGAAAAAAAAGAATACAACAAAACCATGGAGCATGGTTTCTTGTGGCTGTACCTCGTGTGCGTTTCAATTATAGACTCGACAATTTTCCTGCCAAAAGTTAAAAAAAGAACATATTTGTTACTTGTTAGAGTCCCAATTAATGGAACCCGTTACCAGTCAAACCATCAGTGACTAAATTAAAATTAAAGTGTAATGACGGTGACTAATTTATAAGACTTAATTAGTGACTAAAACAGAGCATTCTCAATAGTCTGATGACTAAGGAAGGTTTTACTCGAAATTAAATAATCGCCCGTTTCAAGGACCAACTCCAGCTGTTTAAGTAGTATTTTCTCAACAAAAAAAAGTAGTACTCTGAAGCCACGTGAATTTTGGGTATTTCAGTAATTTAAGGTTTCCTTAAAGAAAAACAAAATATTCATGCTCAGATGGACCAAAAAAAGGCTCCAGAATCGCAGTTCAAAATTTTCAACCATTCTCAACGGTCGATAATTTCAAAACACACTTTATCTTCACCGTCCATTTCAACATCTATACACCACCCGATCTGAGATTCTCTTTCACTTCGTTTTTCCTTGGCAGAACCTTTCAAAATCTCGCCCTTTTTTTTATTCTCCAACGTTCTTCCTAAACACTTTCAAATATATCTCAAACCCTAAACGCGTCACTTTCACTCAAAACGAAGCCGTTCTCTTCCGAGATGCCGTTCATTTCCGATACAGCGAGCGCTATCAAGAGCCGTTTTGGCTTCCATAACCGGTCATCTTCATCTGAGTCGGTCTCCATGTCGTCGGTTCGTAATACGCCGGATCTTCTAGGGAAATCGGCAGTGAGGGAGAATCCCGGCCATTTCACTGCTGCTGCGTCCGCAATTCCGAGCATCAGTGAGTGGGAGGAAGATTTGACTGAGAGTACAGGAGGAGCGCCACAGTCGTCCCAGAGCTTTGAGTTCCATGAAGATCCATCGTTTTGGAAAGACCACAATGTGCAGGTTGGGTGAAATGTTTGAATATTATTTTTAATTTTTCTTAAAAGAGGTTTAAAGAGGTAAAAAAGTAAAGAAAGAAAGAAAGAAAGAAATGTTCTGGTTGCCAAAACGTAGTTTTCTGAGTAAGTATTTCACTAGAAATCTATTTTTTAAGATTAAACATAAGTATAAAAAGTGAAATTATAATTTGTCATAATGCTGTTTTATATTTTATTGTGCAAGTAAAAATCCAAGTAGTTCAATAGAAAACCAAGCAAAGACATATATATTGAGAGCATATCAAAGTTAAGCTAACTGGATCTAATTTTAGTTTATTTTTGGGAAATTATTAGGTTATCATTAGAATTCGTCCCCTTAGTAGTTCTGAAATCTCACTACAAGGCAATAGCAAGTGTATTAGGCAAGAAAGTTGCCAGACAATTACTTTGACAGGGCACCCAGAATCTCGTTTTACATTTGATCTTGTTGCTGATGAACATGTTAGCCAGGTATGCCTCTATTTTATCTTATGTCTTTTTGGTTTAATTTTTATGTTTAGGCCTATGTTATTTTGAAGTTATGACATTTAAGTGATTTTACAGGAGAATCTCTTCAAAGTAGCTGGATTGCCTATGGTGGAAAATTGCATGGGAGGCTACAACAGCTGCATGTTTGCATATGGCCAAGTGAGCTTCCAAATCTCTCTCGAGTAATTTTTTCTAGTATTTCCATGAATTGTTGGTTAATTTCCCACTTTATTGGTCTCTAAAATTATTTAATTTGATTTGGTTTTCTTTCTGTTCTTGTTTTGGTATTGGCTCCAACTTAAAATTTATTATTACAGACTGGGAGTGGGAAGACACACACAATGCTCGGAGACATTGAAGGAGGGACTAGAAGGCACAGTGTCAACTGTGGGATGACACCTAGGGTGTTTGAACATTTATTTACAAGAATACAAAAGGTGTGGCGTAGGTGCCTTATAAGTTGGACATACTGTGACTGAAATAGCTTCACAACTTTCTTGGGTGCAATTTACTTCCTTTAGATGCAAATTAATTCTCTCTTATGATCCATATAGACAATTATACTATTTGCAAAATAATAATTGATAGATGGACCTAAGGGTTAGTTTTGAATGTTGTGTGTTGAAAAGCATTGCAGCTTAAATCTTGTGCACTTCTTCATTAATTGTTTAATACTGTAACGAAAATGGCTATTGAATTCTTTATAAAATAGAATGAAATTGTGTAAGTAAAATAAATACCTAAGTTTCTACCAAACTTATTACATAGTTGCTTCTTTATGCTAGGAGTTTACAATCTTCCATACAATGTTTCATTATTTTATAATTCTCTTGCCTTTTTTATATCATAATATTCTTCTGTGATATGTCAGGAAAAAGACAATCGTAAAGATGAGAAATTAAGATTTACATGTAAATGCTCGTTTCTGGAAATCTATAATGAACAAATTCTTGATCTTTTAGATCCATCATCAACCAATTTACAGGTAAAGTCACCTGCATATGTTGAACAATTCTTTTTCCATTTTTTTCTCATTTGTTTTATATTACAACATGTGTAGCGTGAAATAAAAGTTATCTTTTCCTTAACTAAAGAAATTTACTACTCTTTTGTGGTTATATTGCAGATAAGAGAAGACATGAAGAAAGGGGTTTATGTTGAGAATCTTAAGGAGATGGAAGTTACAAGTGCACGGGATGTGATTCAACTACTCATTCAGGTTCTGACTCTAAAAAGTTACATCATAAAGCACATCTAGATTGTAGATGTTCGAGCTTAAATTTTTTAGTTAAAAGTTATAAACTTTAAAAGGGAGTTAAGAAAGATTTTCTTTAGTTTATTTTGATTGTATAAGCAACTTCTTTTTTTTAAAAAAAAATTGTCATTTTCTCTATCCAACTAATTATTAATCTAGAAGCTTTGTATAATATTTCAGGGTGCAACAAACAGAAAGGTGGCTGCCACTAACATGAATTGTGCTAGTAGTCGTTCTCACAGCGTATTTACATGCATAATTGAAAGTAAGGTAAGTGTGACCTTTTAATTGAAGAGTTCTTTTGAAATAACTAGTAAATTGTACGATGTTCATCTCTTTCATGGATTGTCTTTACCTTGAGACAAAAATTCTAACAAAGTGTTTGATATCAGTGGGAGTCTCAATCTGTAACTCACCACCGCTTTGCTCGGCTTAATCTTGTTGATTTAGCAGGCTCAGAAAGGTACAAAATGTCAAAGTGTTAAAATCATCCGCGTTTTTTTTCTAGTTTCTTCAGAATATATCATTTATAATTTGCCCATGACAGACAGAAGAGTTCTGGGGCTGAAGGTGAACGCCTCAAGGAGGCTACTAATATTAACAAGTCTCTTTCAACATTGGGGTGAGTATTTACATTTTAATATCAAATTATATGTTCCTTCTTCTGACTTCTCATTGTACCACTCATTAATAACGATTTATATTGGCAGACTTGTGATAATGAACCTTGTAAATATTTCCAATGGGAAGTCTCTCCATGTTCCTTATCGAGATTCAAAACTCACTTTTTTGCTTCAGGTAATGTGCTATAATGCATGGACTTTTTGAAGTAAAATCTGTTACTATATGATTCCTTGTTTGCAGGAATAGAGTAGCTACTGTACAGTTAACCTTACATGTATTGGTTATATACACACACAAATATTTGTATGTATATTTTGTTTGCAGGACTAGGGCAGCTACTGTACAATTAACCTATTGGTTATATACACACAAATATTTTTATTGAAAGTTAATTCTGTCTTGTTATTTTCCTTTCAGGATTCTCTAGGTGGAAACGCAAAAACAACAATAATTGCGAATATTAGTCCCTCTAATTGGTTAGTGGAATATATTTTGTTTTTGTTTCTGCGGTAGTTGGTTATTTTAAATTTCAATTTTAAATTCCATTTACATGAGTGAATCTGTTTTTTTTTAACAATACTTTTCACAACGACCTGAATTTCAAATGTACTTTTATTGTCTTTCAATGAGCTCGACTTACTCTGTTAGAGTACATAATTGTAAATGACAAATTTTCTTTTTCTTCTTTTGGCCATCCTCTGCAGTTGTTCCCTGGAGACACTAAGTACGTTGAAGTTTGCACAGCGGGCTAAATTTATTAAGAACAATGTATGAGATCTTTTCTTAGCTACTTTATAAACAATGCATGTTTGGTGGTATAAGGTCTCAATGGAAATTGATGCCAACCCTTGAATAGTGGGGTGAGCAAAGAAACTCAATAAACCGAAAATCAAACCAAACTGTGGTGTTTATGGTTCACAATTTTAAAAACATTGATTACCTGAAGGTCCTGAACCAAATTTTATTTTATTTAATTTGTTATTATTTTTTATAATATAAATTAAGTATTTTTCATTTCAAATAGTGAAAATTTAAATACTATATAAGACAATTATATATATATATACATATATTAACCCTGTTATTTGCTTTGTCAAACTCTAGTTAATATTTATTACTTTGCTTTTGGATACCATATTTATGGGAAGTTGTTGAGTTAATGTCTTGCAGGCAGTGGTGAATGAAGATGCATCTGGAGATGTTGTTGCTATGAGGCTGCAAATTCAACAGCTGAAGGTAACATTGTTAAACTTATGCTCGTATTTTAAAGTACCCTAAAGTGATCCTCCTGCTATGGTAATGTTATACTGTGAGTCTTATTTTGCTAAGTTAATAAATGTTAATTTAGGACATTTCAAGCAGCAAGCACACTTCTGTTTAATGAATTCAACTTGTGCCAAAGCTTAAATGATTCATTTTATTTATTTATTTTGCTTGGTTCTCATAATCTTTCAGGTTTCTAGTTATCCTTAATATTCAAAATTCTGTTTCTTTCAGAAAGAAGTATCTCGTCTACGAGGTTTTGTTAATGGCAGAACCGAAAATCTAGATAATGATAGTTTGGCATCAAGTGTTCCAGCATCTCCAGGGCCTTAAAGTGGGAAGGTCTTCATGGATCATTCAGTCCACTTACATCTGATAAAAGGATGTCTCAGGTATGAGAATCTTACTTAATTGAGGAAACGCCTATTTTAGAGTTCTTAAAATAATTTTCATTTTGTTCCTATTATGACTTTGTATTCCAGAAAAAAGATTATGAAGTTGCACTTGTTGGGGTCTTCAAGAGGGAAAGAGAGAAGGAAGCCGCTTTACAGGTCCTGACTGCTGAAAATCAGGCAACTTTGCAGTTGGTATGTCCTATGACTTAACTTTTCTTTATTTGATAGGTCTCAGTCTTCCAGGCTAGAAAGTTTATAAGTTAACAAAAGTTTCTGAATTTTGGTAGTTAATCTTGAGGTATATGATATGCTTAAATTTTAATATATAAAGGAATTCTGTGAGCTTCTGTTCTTTACTTAGGTAACTTTAGAGTATAATTAGTTTGATAAGTTATTAGAAGAAAATTTTGTCACTTTGCTTCGGACTGTTGTTAGGCAAAACAAAGAGAAGATGAGATCCAAAGCTTGAAAATGAGATTAAGGTTTCGAGAAGCTGGAATTAGGAGGCTGGAAGCTGTTGCTTCTGGGAAGATGTCTGCAGGGACACACTTATTACAAGAGAAAGAAGAATACTTGAAGGAAATTGAGGTTTTAAGAGCTCAAGTTGATCGCAACCAAGAAGTCACTAGATTTGCACTGGAGAATTTGCGACTGAAGGAGGAGATTAGAAGGCACGTTCACCTGATCCTCAAGATTCTCCATTTCACTCTTTCAACGTTATCCAGTTATTTTACTTGCTCTATTATTGAGATCTATACTGAGTTATAAATACAAAATATAGTTGTTATTATGAGCAAACCAACCAGCGCTTTGAGTGATTAACTTGCTCCATTACATGTTCTTTATTATTGATAACTGTTCTGCACTGATATCTGTACATAAAATAAAAATTCAGGTTGATATCTGTATATGTTATTAAGAGGATTGCATTCAGTAGGTCTTCTTCATAAAAAGTAAATCTTTCTTACATGTACTGGTATCTGTGTTGGTTGTGTAATTGCATTTAATTTTCAATGTTTGTTATTTTCTCTCATTACATTTAATTCTCAATAATATTATGTGTCTGATGTTTGTTACTACTCACAGATTAAAGTCCCTTTGTGATGAAGGCCAACTGGAGATGATGAATGAACAGATAAAGGCATTACACAATAAGGTGCAAAAAGAGAAGTATTCAAATATTTAACTAGTTTTTAATTTCATGGTCAATATTGATATTTAGGGAAAATGTTGCTTACTCCATTGACTATTATGCAGTTGCTAGAGGCACTAGATTGGAAACTCATGCATGAATCAGATTCCTTAACCATTGAGGTTCTTGCTAACATTTGTCATGACGTGAATTTTGATGATTTTAATTTTTGCGACGAAAATTTTCTAAATCTTGGTTTTGGAATGTTCATGCTATACAGAAAACAAATTCTAAAGTGGTGTCCGGAGTTTCTGATGATCTCAATGAACTGAGACAGGTTGGTTAATATTATCCAGTCTTCCAGGTTCCCAGTGTGGTTATTTTCTTATTCATCTATATATCTTTGGAAACTGTTTGTAATTTACTATAATCTGAATTAACGCAACTGAGCTAGATTACTTTTACAACACAATCTTCTATAATTGTAATATCTTAATGAATAGAAAGCTCTTTTTCGTTTGTACTTTTTAAAACTCAACTCTATTAACATTTCAATTTCAAGCATGTTCTTTGGTGATGTAACTAAATATCTGCTGTAGTTGAAACTAATCCTATAGAACAATATTATGCTATACTTGTGTTGATCTTCTTTAAAATTGTCAATAATCTCTTGACCTAGTATTAAGAGGTTTGCGAGACATAAGATTGCCAATAACTTCTTTGACATTTGGGCATGTTTATGACTGCAAATAGGAGACATACTATTATGATAGCAAATTGGATGTCTGAATTTGAACAAAAAATTCTGTTGTCTTTTGCAATGTGTCTCCTGCCACAAAATATCTATTATTACATATTTCTTGCCTAAAAAATTGAAATTTTGATATATTGAAAACAGGAGCAGAATTCAGCTTGGTGCTCTAACCATAAAGAGGAAAATGAATTTCTTAGAATGCAGGTAGCTATACTCAGATGAACTATTTCGTTGAATTTCTTTTTCTGGTAAAAGATGGAGTTCATGTGATTCATTGATAAACATTTTCGTTTAACAGGCCATTCACAACAAGGCGGAAATGGATGCACTCCAGAAAGAACTTGAATTTTGTCTTGAAGAGAAGGAAGAGTTGGAGAGGTATGTTCAATAGTTTAAGAGATTATGTACAAATCGAAGAAACAATCATGCAGCATCATATATCTATATGCTTTTCCGGAAAATTAATTATAAACTTTTGCAGGTATGTGAGTGATTTACTTAACAAACTTGAAGAAGAACGGTCTTCAAGATCGGCGAAGGAAGCTATACAACAAACAGAGCTTCTTTCATTGTCAGCGGATGTGCCAACTATCAACAATCCTAATGACCAAGTGGAGCTTAAAACAATGGTTGATGCCATAGCAGCTGCAAGTCAGAGAGAAGCAGAAGCTCATGAGAAGGCATTTAAGTTATCCCAAGAGAACGATGAATTACGATCCAAGCTTAAGGGCTATGTTGAGGATAATAAGCAACTCCTTGAATTATTTGAACAGAAAGCTGCTGAAAGAAATTATAAAAGTTTGAATGAAGGTGACATTAATGAATATGTCACTAATCACACTGATGCTGGTTTACATGAAAATGGTGAAGAAGAGCTGGTCAAGCTGAAGAAAGATGTCGATAACCTTGAGCAACAGCTTACTGAAATGCATGAAGAAAATGACAAATTGATGGGTTTGTATGAAAGAGCAATGCAGGAGAGAGACGAGTTCAAACGAATGTTATCCTCTTTGGGAACTCCGAACAGAAAGGAGCCTAGAGAATTCGAATGCCTTGAGAAGCTAGTTGAAGTCGATGGAGGCCAAGGCAGCTTGGATAAACCTCATGCAGTTTGAGTCAAAGGATTTAGAGGGGGAAACTGCTCCCTTTTGTTCACATGAGCTGAATGCAGGTGAAAACCAAAAGTTGTCTGAAGTGATTCTAAATGTCGACGATACACATTCTGATCAGTCAGAAGCAGGGAATCACGTGGAATGCCTTGAGATGCTAGTTGAATTCAATGGAGAAGAAGACAGCTTGGATAAACCTCATGTGCAATTTGAGTCAAAAGATTTAGAGGGGGAAACTGGTCCCCTCTTTTCACATGAGCAGAATGCAGGAGAAAGTCGAAAGTTGTCTGAAGTGATTCCAAATGTCGACGATGCAAATTCGGATAATCAGTCAGAAGCAGGGAATCACATGGAAATAGACCAACCAGATACCACTGCTGCAAAGTTGTCTGAAGATTTATATTCTACAAGAGCAATACTGAAACAGGCAAACGAAAGACTTTTGGATTTTGCCAAGACAGTTACTGAATTCAGTTCCCTTGAGAAATCGTTCCGTGAGATCAATAACCTTTCCAGAGAAATAGAACTGATGGAAAGTGGGATAAAGGAGAAACAACGACACCTTGAATCTGTTTCAATCATTTCTACCGAAATAAAAGAAAGAAAAGCTTTAACTGAAAGTAAGTTATCAGCACTCAAATACACTATTTCAAGCTTTTCTTCTTCAGTTGCTTTCTTCGAGCAGCGAGAAGCTCAAGCAAGGTCGAAACTAAATGCCTCATTGTCCAAGTTGGACAACAAGAAAGAAGAACTGGTCAATCTTAAGAACGCCAAGGTCGAAATCGAGGCGTCCTTGAATAAGACACGGGAATCTGAATCAGCAACAAGGAACAACATTGCCCTTTTGAAGTCAAAGCTTGAGGAAGAACGCAAAACACAAGAGAATGACAAGGTTCTATTCGCCATTGATAACTTGGATAAAGTCGATCCCTCGCAGAGAAACTTATGTTTAGGTGGCAAAGCTATCGATTTACTGAAGACTGAAGAAGAGAAAAGCAAGTTGCAAAACGAGATCAAGTCATCCCGCGAAAGCTTGGCAACCATTAAAATGAGACACCAGGATTTGAACAATAAGCTGATAAAGGTAGAACACGACATAGAAACTGTTTCAGTGGAAATACAAAAAGGATCAAAGTCAGTGGAGGAGTTGAAGCTTGCCATGGAAGGTGCAATCCAAGAGAAACGGACGCTCCTCGAAACTTCCGATAATGGGAAAGCTGAAATCGGTTGTTTGATCTTGGAATATCAACAGAATATTTTTGATGCAGATCTGACCGAGGCGCAGATGAAGGCCGTTGATGAAGAACTGAATCTCGAAAAAAGGAGACTAGAACAGTTGCAGACATTGAGAGCTACATCCGGGCAGAAGGTTAAGCAATTGTTGTCATCTCATTCGGGTTTGTTGTCTGAAAAGCTGGAAGCAGATTTACGAAGTGTTTGGGCAACTTTCGAGGAGGCTAAGATCTTGTTAGGGGTGGATCACTGGATTGTCTGTTAAATCAATGTTTTCCACTTTAATTCAGAACTCGAAATCCCATCAAATATGCATCTACTTTGTGATGTAATTAACTATTCCTTCTCGTTAATATCTGTTAGATTGTTAGACCCATAAAGCAGTAAGGGGGGGGGTATACCCTTTCTATGGGTATTTTGGTGCCAACTCCGGTGCCCTTTATATTTTTTATTTGGGTTAACTATATTATCTGTGGTCACTAAAGTTTGGTGAGCTTTTAAGTTAGTCACTGAAGCTTCTAAAGTTACATTTTAGTCACTAAGATTACTAATAAATAACAAATGCCCACTTGCAATCTAACGTGAATTATAGCTTAAACATCTATTTGTCCTTAACACAATTTTTAACTAATTTTTTAAAAAGGTTTCTTACCCAGTTAACCCATCATCAACATCCGAAAACCCTCTCCACTCAATCCCCATACCACTCAACCAAAACATTTGGCACAATCTACAGTACTTACTAGATAAAAAAACAATCAAATGGGCACACACTATTGCTTGACCAGTGATTTCCTTGTGATCTCTCAGCTGTTACATAACAATATGAAAGTAATTTAGAAAACAAGAAAGCCGATTAAATGATATACCCAGTTCTTCTCATCTCAAAGCAAAATTTGGCTCTAAATCTCGTTTTAATATCTTTCACTGTGAAGAACACTGCACCAGTTCCGGTGTTATGGTCAACAGCTTACTTTACTCTCCCTTGACCTAACTTGACTCGAACATCATATGATTAGCCTAACCCATTCTCCTGTATACCTCCGTTGGGTTCCCTTATACATCCTTTGTGCTTCCTAGATCATTCACATCAGAAAACTTTGAACTTTTCAGGTAATCAATTATTAGTATTGATCACTTATACCTTACCATTCTATCCTTCCCTCGCGCACCCTCCCACTCTCATTAGAAATTATATGGCCACCGACAATCGGTTTTGTCTACTGGGATAAGACACTAGATCCCTTAAACAATATTAAAAGTTTTAATTCTGATGTTTGTAAATGAAGTAAGCTAAGTTGGGAGGGTTGTCCTTCATTCCGATATGAATTAATCGGTCAAAATATATATATATATATATGATGTTATACCCAAAAAATGAAATTCTCTGGCCACTCAGCCATCTTTGACATTGAACGGTAAAATCATTTATTGGGAAATATATTCGTTATAACAGAAATATTCATCATCATTCATCACATCTCAAAATGTTGGGGTTGCTCTTATCAAACCAAACGTATTAAGCTGTATTTAACATTTCTAATAAACCCAAAATTATGAGAACGAAAAACAAAATACACTAACTAGAATTATCTTTCAAAATTCCCGTTATTCCTCCGTGTTGTTAAAAATCTCTCTTTAATTTGTTTGTTGGATTTCATTTTTGTCTCTCTCATTTTTTTATATGCCTCCATTTTCTTTTGTATTTTCTTTGTTGAGCTGGAAATCTGTTTCAAAATGAATTTACAGTTAGATTCTCGCATGGGTACTTGTTTTTCAAAATCACGTTCCTAGTTCTCTCTATCCTCTCTCTCTATATATGTGTGTTCTTTTTGGTTTGCCTGAGAGAGTTAGTGAGAATTACATACATTTTTTTGCTAACGATGGCTCCTCCGATGACTAGAGTACCGCCGGCGAAACGGAGGCAAGCGCTTTCGGTAACGGAGGATCCGAAGACGATGAAAAAAAGGAATAAATTAGGAAAAGCCATCGGTGTCACCGCGGCGGAATGCACGGCGGTATGTTGCTGTTTTCCATGCAGCGTCGTGGAGCTGCTTGTGTTAGCCCTTTATAAGTTTCCCGCCAGGGTTTGCCAGAACACTTGGAGATGGAAGAAGACACTACTGATGAAGAAGAATCAAGATTTGTTAGGCTCGACTAAACGTTGGCCCACAAGGGAGGAATTGGAAGTTGATGTGGACTGCGTGATGGGGAAAGGTAACCAATGTGAAGCTGATAATCGCGATGATTGTTGCGCTAGAGTCGAAGATTTTGAAAATAAGATGTGGGATCAATTTTGTGAGACTGGATTTTGGAGAAGTCCATCGCAGAGAGAAATAAGAGAATAAAAATAACTTAATTTATACAAAAAGAAAAATCATATTTTCTCATTTTTTTCAATATTTTAATTTGAATATTCAAATTAAAATATCATTTTAATTATAATTTTCAACACTGTTAGGATTGATGTGATTCTTAAAACAAAACTGAATTAAGCTTATAATTTATAAATTACTTTAATATATTCAATTAATGAAATTAACCTTATTTTTTTGAATTTTAAAATTAATTTAGAATTTAATTAATGAAATTAACCCTACTTTGATGTCATTCGCAGAAATATAAGTTTAAAAATTTTATACAAAAATAAATTCATCAAGTGTTTTTAATGATAAAAAAGAATATCATTCATCCTATAAGTTTTGAGTTTGACCAGTTGTATTTGTAAGATCTGTATACATTGTCATTAAGTTAAAAAAAATTAAACATATATTATCTTATAATATTAAAAAATATAAAAAAAAATTTAAGCGTGAATATAATGCATGTTTATTACTATTTTGATATTATTATCTATACCATGTTTATAATGAATTCAAAATTGTTGTAGTAACTGCTAGTAAATCCAGGGATACTGAGTCGAGTTTAGGTTACTCAAATTCAAGAGTTTCGTTTAGTTCCATTTCTAAAGTTAAAAAAACATGGTATAAGTTTTATTTTATTTCTTAAATTAAGTCATTTTTCTACATTGATATTTAAATTTATTGTTTTTTTAATATTAGCACTTATATATTTTTTGTCCACATTTTATATATGAACTGGTTTACATTTTTAGGTGATGTCATACTCTGAAATTATGTAATATTATCATCTAAAAGTGAAAAAATGTTAATATTTTACAAGACACTAACATATATTAAACGGTTGAAATTTGTCAATGATAATAATGGACGAGTATTATACAAAATTTTGAATATTATATTGATTATAATCACTTTTCTTTGAAAATAAGTTATTAATAATGTTAGAATATAATTACATGTATAATAACCGTTTAATAAAATATATATTAAAATTTTATGTGGAAAATCTTATAGAGAAAAGCTACAGATAGAAGAAGAGAAAATTCACTAATGTCAAGAAAAGAAAAATACAAGATGAGCCTTCATAGACAACCTAATCTCTAACTTTAATCCTTAGTATCTATTTATAGAGATAAATATTTGATTACAGAGGAAACTTCTAAAGTATAAATCTACTTAAAATAGGTTTCCTATATAAAGGGAAAATAAATTTATACTCCTAATCAAACTAGGTTTATTACTTTCCTAATTTTATATATTAATTAATTTGTGTCGTTTTGAATTTGAGTCATATTCAAAAAAATCTTAACCTTAACGTGAATTCTGAAAATGCAAATGTTTCGAGATAAAATACTCAAATTCGATGAGACACCTAAACTCAACAAAAACAATTATTCACTTAAACGAACAAACTCTATACATTAAGAACATATTGTCCTCTTCTTCCACGAAACCCCTTAGAGAGACATTCTTCAATAATAATTGTCAGCTGAAATCAAAATTTGTCCAAACTTAAATTTAGTTTTCACATCGGTAAGGAAATCATTAGTGTTAACTTTGCTTACAACTCGTTCACTACAAGTAATATCATGACCAACATCATCCCGATAATCAATGACAATAATATCATGTACAACACCACCTCGATCATAAATGACAATTTTATGTTTTCCGTTATACTTACGGAATTGAATTTTTTTATTCTCAAATCTATTATGACTACAAAATTAAACTCTCTTTTTCTTTTCAAATTACTTATGCCCACGAAATATAACTATTTTCTTCTCCCAAAATATCATTATGCATAAAAGTAAAAATCTACTCAGTTGATTTTTTACATAAATGAAAAAAAAGTGAAGAAGCAAGTGTTAAGGGGTAAAATAATTTTATATAAAAAATAATAAATTGTTAAGTGTTTAAATCTAAAAACTGAGATAATTAAACTTTATTTAATTAATATTTAAATTAAAAATACCTTATATACGAATACATTGTTAATAAATTAATTTTTTTAAATAAATATTATTATAAGAAAATTTTAATAGGATACGACAAATATAAGTTCCTAAACTTAGTAAATAATATCTCCATAGCAAATGCACTAAGATACGATAATAAATATTTATATATTTACAAGACATCAATATTGCTTTTTTATTTATTTATTTTTAGTTAGAAAAGTTTGTATATGAAACTTTAGTTTGGTGGGAGTGACAGAATGATTGAAGGGAGAAAAAGAAGAAGCGTCAAAGTCTCAAAGGTTCTACAGTTAATATGCCACGTGGCGAAACCACACTCCAGAGGACCCTGCTTTAGGTTCTTTGTTTGTTTTCACACCCTTTATCCCAGCCCAATGTCTTCTCTTACTCGCCACTCTCTGCAATAGTTTCACACTATAATAAAAGTCGTTACTTTCATTGATTTCCAAAAGAACAATCTTCAAAATAAAGTAAGAAAAAAAACAAGCTCAAAGTCTTTCGTTTTGCCCATTCTTCAAAATAAAGGAAAAAAGTCTGGTTATTTTTAAATCCCCTGTTATATTAATCGATCTGTTGGGTTGATCATCAGCTGGTTTCCTTTTGGACTCTCAAATGGAGGTAAAGTATAATATGGGTGTTTCTTTGATTTTGTTTCCGTGTTCTTTAGGAGGTTTTTGGCTGGTCAGAAAATGGAGTTAAAAGTTTTAATATTTGATGGGAAAAGTACGGTGAATTTGCCTGGATTTTTAATATCTGTTCTGATTTTTGGAGCTTATGTGTAAAATTTATTTTATTTGATGTTTCTAGGGCGTAATTTTGTTGCCCTTATGTTAGAATAATTGATTTTATCATTGATCGGTGTGGTGTGTATATCTTCATTGTCAATTATACATGGACTATTTTATGGATAAGTCTTTATCAAGGTGTTAACTTTCTTACTGGTCACCGTTGGTTCCACTTTTTGTACCCTAGACTTAGCTTGGTTTCATTTAAAAAAATTGAATTGAAAAATCTGAAATTGAGATATACTTTGGTGTTTGGCCTTGTAGGATATGGAAGATACCAAGTCTGAGGCGCATTTAACCTCTGCTGCAGCATTTGTTGAAGGTGGAATCCAGGATGCTTATGATGATGCTTGTAGCATATGCCTTGAAGAATTTTGTGAAAGTGATCCATCCACTGTATGTTTGGCTATAAATTTTATTTCTGCTTTTTGTTCAATACCGGGAAGGACAATCCTTTGATCCTTGCCTGTTCATTGTTCTGTTGCTTATAGGTAACCAGCTGCAAGCATGAGTTTCATCTGCAGTGCGTTCTTGAATGGTAGTATGAATCTCTTATCTATTTTACAATTCCATTAGAGATTTTAGTTCAGGTTGAATGAATCTAATCATAATATTAGCAATGGCTCGATGATCCAGTTTTGATTTTGAAAGCAAGTTTTGATTTTGAAAGCAGTTATCTACTTTATAAATCAGTCCGGAAATGATTTAGTTTCATAAATCTCTCTATTTCACTAGTAAAACTGAGAAAGATTTAATTTAGGTCACGCTCTTGCCTTGGGGCTTAGAATTTTGGATTCTATATATATTGTTTATCTTACTTAGACTCTTCATTTTCCCTAAATTATCTCTATCCGTCAAACATTCGGACATTGATAGGGGGACATGATCCTCCAAACATATGGACAAAATTAGAAACATGTTGAGCATAGCATGTAAGAAAATATATATGCATCCGACACTCACCCCCGAGTCAAGGTAACATAGTTTTAATGTTCTAAATTACAAGTTATTTTTAGTGTTGTAAAAGCAGGAAGCCTTGTAACTTGTAACATAATTAGATAATCCGACTATGATGCTAAAGTAAATAAATTTGCTTTCTAGTTTTCTAGGTCTGGCGCACTGATGGGTCAAAAGAAGTATAAGGGTGTGACTTTCAAATATGAAAGCACATTGTTGATTCCATTTTTTTATCACCATAAAAGTGATAAATGTCCTTTAACATAGTTGAATATGCCTGACAGTCATTTTGCCTGACCAAGAAAGCAGAACATACTTGCGTGAAGTGTTAACCTATGATTCTTCTAGATGTCAGTTATATAGGTTGAACAAAGTTTGAGTTGTTGTCGAGTTTATATAACCATTTTGTAGTGCCAGTTATTGTCATTTGTTGAAACTGCTTCTCTCGCATTGTCCATTACCACTATCAAAGGATTTCAGAAATTTTGTTTAGTCTAATACTCTAGTAATACGGAATATTGGAGACAGTAGTAGAGATGATTTGTTTCGGATGTCACATCCAATTGAAATCTCCAGTTTAACATGATAGCCTTTCTTCCTCCATACTGCCATTCATTCTCACAACTAGTCTAGAACAGCGATCTATAATTCTAACATAGATTTTTGGAAAGGAAAACTTCACATTTGAAGTCTGATGTCAAAGAATATCATCAACTTCAGTTATTCCAGGCTATGGATCTTAAAATAATTACATACTAGAAGAACTGTGTGGCCCTTATGATCTGCAATAATTCCACTTTAATAAAAGAATCTGATGTGAATTTATGGGTCGTGTTTTTGAAGATCATTTGATAATTTACTTGTGCAGGTGTCAAAGGAGTTCTCAATGCCCCATGTGTTGGCAGCCAATTAGCCTGAAAGATCCAATGAGGTTTCATATATGTTTATTTCCTCTTTTTTTTCTTCAAAATTTTATTTGCTTGTTCTAGATTCCTCTGGCCAGTGTGTGTTAGAAGCCAATAATTTCTCTTGCTTTGGCAGCCAGGAGTTGCTTGAGGCTGTTGAACATGAAAGGAGTTTTAGGGTCAATCCGTCTAGAAATGCAACCGTATTCCATCATCCGACTTTGGGGGATTTTGACCTACATGTATGTATTGCTTTTCATCTTGTTAGATTTATATCATCCTCTTTTTATAATCATCACATTGAACCTAGAGCCCAAGGAGCCACATACTCATGGTTTGTTTTCAACACAGCTGCCTGTGGGGGCAAATGAAGCTGAGCTCGAGGAGCACATAATGCAGCATTTGGCAGCTGCTTCTGCTGCAATGGGGCGAGCACGTCACATTGCAAGAAGAGAAGGTCCAAGGAATAGGTCATCTGCTCAAGCTTATCCACAGTTCTTGGTAGTTTCATCTCATCCAAACGCTGCCTCCACTGGTCCTTTATCTTCATCATCCCCAACTCAGAGAGAAGGTGAGCCAACCCTAGCAAACGCGGTTGGCACTCCATCCTCTCCAGAGAGAACCGTGGGGGAAGAATCTTCAGCATCAATTACTCCTATACCTTCTGCCCAAGCTGATCGACAGTCAGCATCTGGCTCCAGTGTTCTTTTGGTCAGTGATCAAGGGAATTCCTTGAACAAGAGGTCTCCTAATCAATCTTCTAATAGTCATGATAGAGCAGGACCTTCAGAATTCCAGTCATTTTCAGAATCACTAAAATCGAAGTTTAATGCTGCTTCAATGAGGTAGTGGTCATACTCAAACATTTGAGATTCTATATAGGCCCTAGGGTAATATTTCAACGATTTCTTTTACGTGATATATTCTAAATTTGTGACCATATCTTGATTTAATTTATATTTTTAGATACAAGGAGTCAATTTCAAAGAGTACAAAGGGGTGGAAAGAGAGGTTCTTCTCTCACGACACTTCCATGTCAGAGATTGGCTCTCAAGTTAGGAGAGAGGTTAATGCTGGCATTGCAACAGTCTCACGAATGATGGAGCGTTTAGAAACCCGAGATAATAGAACAAGCACAGCTACTGTATCAAACAGTTCGGAAAACTGGTTTAACCTGGAATCAAATAGTCAACAGATTTCCGACGCTGGTGGTGAAACTGCTTCGACTGAAACCAGTGCACTAGCTTCACGTGCCACCAGTTCTGCTTCCAAATAAGTGTCGTATTCGTATCGGCATCATCCAACAATGTTTTAAGATCAAAAGGTAAGCTGAGGTGTCGAAATGTTGCTTGTTTTCAGTTGCAGCATATAAATGATCATTGATTTAAGTTATTGAAATTGACTGTAACTATGATTATCGGTTCTACATTGTTATCAATATCTCCCATAATCCATATCTTCTTAAGTTACATACATGGCACACACACACACACATGAACATCGAAACAGCATGCTAATCAAAGTATCCAACTTTCTTACACTTCGTTTTATCACGAAGTTATTGCCACATGGTTCTTATCTTAATTCTTTTGCCTTGACATTGACTTTGGTACGTCTTCATTTATTAATGACACCTCGTCTCTGATTGTGGATCAAATGTTCTATTTACAGGTATGTTATGTTTTTTTATGGATGTTTGGCAGACATATGAAGAAATCCGTTTGTGATTGAGAACTGATCCAGAATGGAACATATGCTGAGAAACAAATAAGTGAATATGTAATTATCAACTTTTTCACGATTATATAATTTTAAACCGCTCAAAATGTTTGTAACACTTCGGTATTTTTCTCCTTAATAATCGTTTCAGACACTGTTTTTCAAGAGATCGTATCATTAAATCAAATTTATATTTATTATATTTAATTTGGACAAGTCTTTGACATACTAATGGTGTAGTTTTTAAGATAAGAAACAGTCAATGTCCTCCGATTTGTATATTGAATAATGAAATATTAAATTTAATGTGATATCTTTTTTTATTATCTAAATTGATTCAATATTGGGGTAGAGATCGAAGTTTGAAGCAATTTGATTTTTTTTGCACATTGAAAAACTGAAATATTTTGACTGTATCCGTGTAAAACAAAAATCACGAACCATGAGACTTCAGGTAACTTGAATTTTTAATTTCGATGGCCTATTTATGCTCCATTGACTATCAACATCAGGTATGTTAAACTTCAACTTTGACAACCTATTTATGCATTTTCCGATTGACATGACAAAGGTGAGTTTCCGACAATTTAAATGGACCATTAGTTGTATTAAAACTAGCTATATTAACAACGGCAATGTCCTACCAAAAAAAACAGGAGAGAAAAACAAAATATCACCTTTTTCCATGACAAGAAACCAACAGGGCGGAGAGAACTGCAGAAAATTTAGCATTTCAGGATAGCTTACCAGCATCCATGGGAGTAACTATCAGAACTATACCAGGAGGATGTAGCTAAGTTTAACTAAGCAAACTCAGTAATATCGTGAACCGGTGTCATATGCACGTTCCCCCTGCTATGAACCTCTGGGTTCAAACCCCTGATCTCTGGCACCCCCAAGAAATCGAGACATCTCTCTATAGGAATCAGCAACGCTACCATAACCATGAAGATTATTACCGGTTGGCATGGTATCAGCTGAGGTCATGCTGCTATGAGAATAATAGTCCATCATTGCCTGTTGGTATTGTTGTTGTCGTACAAGAGATTCCTTTTGCAGGAACTCATCTCTGAGATTAGCATGCCATGCTCGAAGTGCTGTTATTTGTTCCTCATACTAAGCATTGATTGCATTTATTTCCTGAAAATTTAAAAACAAAATTGTTACCACTATGCAACGCTGTTGAAAACAAGGTTAACCAAGGGATATCTAAAAAGAGGAAAGAACGTATGAGAACAATAATGCATATGCCAGTTTACTTCATTAAATAATTAAGCTTTCGTACGAAGGCATTGTTTATGTAAAAATAAAAATTGCACGCAATCATTACTTTCAATAACTTACCTTGCCAGCTTAAGATTGGAAGAGCATACCCTTGTATATTAAACCAAACCTTGAGACAAGACAGGTGGAAACTATAAATGACTGGTTCGTACATGTAAACCACCCGTCCTGAATAACAGCAAGTACAGACCACAAAGTTCACTATTATGATATCCGCAACTGCTGCTTTTAGAATTCGAATTCTGTTTGCTTAGGGTAAAACAGACAAACATGTAATGGAAAAAAATTCCTTGGTGGTATAAACTGATTTTGCAAATAACACAATGATACATAAGCAGCTAATAATGAGAATATGACGCAAATGAACAAAATATACACACACACCTCTCTGTGTCTGGTATTTTCGGCATCCTCAGCATTGTTTCGTTCTTTAGCAAGTTTCATTATATCATTGTGGGATTTCTTCTCAATACCTTCCAAAGTTGGTGGCAAAGATTCTGCTCATAGCCAACTTCCATATTTTCATCATGGGGTCGAAATCTGAGATAGGCATTTTGTTTTTCTAAGGTTATGTTGGGATCTGGCCTTGGAAATAAGTTCTTGATCCATCAGTCCCCTGGCCTATGCCACATTAAACTGCTCTAATAAGAGCAGTGGTCCAATACAAATATTAAGTGTGAAATTAAAAGGTTGTTTTCAAGTATAAAATGAAACGCTGACATGTAAAAATAAAAACAAAGCAAGTCACAGGTGTTTTTACTATTATAATGGGGCCATATCTTCCTTCAGCCAAATTACTAATGAAGCAAAGGCATTCTATCTTGTGACATTTTCCAAGTTCATCAAGAATATAAATACAAAGATATCAGAATACTAGAATAACCTCGATCAATCACAGCATTTTTGTAAAAAGGAAGTACTTCAAGACATTCAATTATCAGTCAACCAGTGTTATATATTAGTCAAACACAGGTCTTTGGAGTGTTAATTTCCCCCATGAGTTCCTAGTATTTGGTGTGTCTTTGTAGGATCATATCCTCACATGTATGTGTGGATATGCATTTGGACATTGCTACTTCAAGAAAAATGAAAGCCAAAGCAACATACAGAACTATCTTTAATTATGAGTTTCTGATCTTTCACTTCGAATAATTATTAAAAATACATAGACTATGCTTTAGGAGCAAAAAAAACACAGTAAGGGAACAGAAACAAATATTAGAATTGCAACACACTAAGGATAAACCAGTCAATGAATCTGGAATAACAAAAATAATATTCTAGATTTGTTTAGTTATGATTTAGAAAGCATGCCTACAAGATATTTAAGTAAATATGCCAAAGTACAAATTGAAGAAATGCAAATGCCATAACCCACAATATTGGTAGTACAGCTAGAATGTGCTTGTTCATATTTGTGCTAGATGATGGGTTCTCCGAATCTCTACATCCTTTTTTCTACTGTTTTATACAAAAGGATAACAAGATTAACCAGCATATAAAATAATGCAAGAACCTCTAGTTAAGACATGCATGTAAAGAGAGAGAGTGTCCAGAAAACAATCTTGCCTTTGAACATTTTGGGTGTCAATGGATTTGACACTTTCGATCCATCTCTTTCCCACCTCCATTGGCCATCTGATTTTGGAGTTTGAAATGGTTGATCCCTTTCAGGGGTAAATGCTTCTAATTGTCCTTGAAATTGACCAGACTTAAGCTCCATCCTCTGTGCAGGCATATGTTGCATCTGAGCAGAAGTATATGCATTCCCACCAGAATCCGCACATTGCCCCTGTTGTCTCATCAATCCTACTTTGAAACGAGCTTCAAATGTGGAACCTAACAAGTATGACGGCAACCACAAACAAAATCTAATCACACATTAATTCACAAGAAACGGATAAAAAACAGTAATAAGTCGTTGCATGAGGAGGGGCTAAATTTTAAGTCGAATTCTTTTAAAGGGTTCCCTATCCACACATCCATAAATACAGCTCATTACTAGTAAGCAATATCCTTTTTTCCGATTTCAGCTAGCTACCGAAAGGCTGAAACTTCACACTGAAATCCGTGAGTATCCATAAAAAAAATTTAAGTTCCCACAACAAAACAATGAAATCCGTGAGTTTCCATAAAAAAAATTTAAGTTCCCACAACAAAAGAATGATAAAATAGCCACATAATAAGGCTGAAACTTCACACTGAAATCCATGAGTATCCATAAAAAAAATTAAGTTATAAAAAAGCCACATGCTGATACTATTAGGATTGGGAAAAAATCAAATATAGCAGAGTGAGGCAGATTCAAAGATAAGATAACTAAAAATCTCATAAGTTTAGGGTTTAAATAATTACCTTATTTGATAAGAGAAAGACAAGGCTTGTTTGGCGGCGGGTATGCTCGAAGAGGATTTAGAGCGGATCGGAAAATTTTAACTTTATGCTTGGATCGAGGATAAGAGGAGGGGAATGTAAAATAGATCAAGGTGAAAAATTTACTTCTCCGTTAGGATAAGTTTTATTACTTAAAGGCTTTTCAATGTTCGGATAAATTTTATTACTTAAGAAGTAATTGAAAATTAAATGATTCTAACAATTAGTTTGGAAATCGGCAGGGGTAAGTCGTATACTAATAGCTTAATACAGACAAGGCAATGCCCTTTAACATGAAGATTGGCTTACTGCATGCTTTGTCAGGAGAAATAGGATTAAGGTTTTACTATTAGCGGGCAAGGAAGTGATAGAAAAAAAAATGTAAAAAGCACACTTGATCTAAGAATTGATTGATAAAATTTTACTGTAATGGAACTTTTTTGCTAAATGTTATCAAGCATCTACATGGACAATAGCTTCCCAAGTCCCAACTATACTCCCTCTGCATACATTTTTCACTAATCCAAAAATCTTGTTTATGTACTGTCAACTTGCACTGGCAACTTAGCTCATTGCTCGATACGGAACAGATACCCCGATCTCTGTTTAAAGACACAGAAGTAACAATTAGCTTCAATGGATCATACTTCACATTCCCAGTTGCACCACTTGATTAGATATGAAAGTCCAAGGTAGTCTAAATGTTCTCTAGTTGTAGATTTTTACTGGCTTCTCAAAATTGTGTCGGTTCTGCTTGGCGAAATATCAAATTATAGGGTCAACTACACAAGTTTACCGAAAGCTAGTCATTTCATGGAAACTCAAAGACGAATCATACACGACCAAAGATACTGATCCCTTGTTCCTAACGCTAGATGCTTCTTAACTGAAATTCAGATGAAACTCAGAGAACATTTTCATAAAGGGCAATTACCTGATTAACTGTATTAGCTCTTTTAGAAACATTGTCAGAGTGATCCAATCCAAGATACTGCTCCCAAGCACCGTAAACATTCAATTTCTGAGTTCAGTAAAAAAAAAAGAGGGTGACCACAGTAAAATTAGAGTAAATCAGTGAGCACAAGCTTCACTTAGGAAAGACCTTAGCAAACTCCTCATCTGGAACTTGCAGCTTCCTCTGTATTCGGACTTTTATTTTGGCCAAAGTCTCACCTTCATGAATCACCAAGAAAAAGGGGTTGCCAAAATTCTGAATTTGCTGTCAAAAACAGGACACAAGTACAGTGGTCAGGAAAGGATAATATTAACAGGAAGCAAGGCAACAAAAAATAAGATAATGCAACACCCTTGTTACCATCTGGTTCTGAGCTGTCTCCTTAGAAAAGTGGTACACATGAATTAGGCGATCATTTGGACCAAGATTTTTCTCTTCCTCTGGGATCTGTACATTGGGAGAAAAATAGCAAAACCAGCACTCCATATATTAGAGAAGACCATAAGCTACGAAATGATTCTTTAGATAACAACGGAATGGAGATGGCATCAACAGCATTTCTTTCTCTGGATGTGTGTGAGCTCATATTGACATGCCAGAAGGGGGGAGGGGAAGCAACTAACCTCTTCTGCCCGCAATGTCCAGTATTGGTCACTTATATTCTCAATCATCTCACTAGGTGGGAAAATCTGTAGAAACATGATAGAAACCTTACAACACTACGAAAGAAATAGAAGGATAAATGAAAAGTAACCAGGAAACCCCAATTAACAGATCAGGAAGAGTGAAAAACATGAGACATACGACAATATACAGATAAAAAAACTATATCAGGAAACTGTTTTTCCAACAAACAATGTTGGAACTTAAATCGAACAAACATGTAAAAATGTGCCTTTTGCTCATCACATTTTTCATTAAACACAGAGATCAGTGAATGTAACCAAGAAAAGATAACAATATTAACACACCTTTAAGATCTTGTGAATAAAAATTTCAAGCAACCTCAGTTCTGCATCAGGATGAGACAACTCCACCTGTTTCAACATGATGATTCACATATTTTGTCTTAAGATCATTAATCACATCGTCAACAGTGCTCTGTTTTGGAAGCCTAATAGTTTGGCTAACAACCTGGCATCAAATGGTACAAAATTTTATTGCATTAAAACAAAATTTTAATGTCATTCATTGAAACTCTTAAATATGATCATACTTACTTCGTCCTTTGTAGTATGATGAAATGCTACCTTCAGTGTTTTCAATAATTGTAATTCTGGCAGAGGGATGTCTAATACTTCATAGTACAAAATATCAGAAGCCTGTCAAAGAATATATTCAACTGGTTGGTTAGCTTTTGGACTTTTCATCCTTAATGCTTCTCAATGTGCATAAAAAGGCCATTTGGTTACCTGATTGTGGTGGAACAACATGTCAGATAAATAATCCACTCCATGATACTCAATAGGTTGAGGCTTAGGTTGCTGAGTGTAACAATTATGCGAAGTAAGTCTGATTTTTTATGGATCATCCAAACGAAGTTGCTGAGCTACTCTTTCAACAACACCATCGTAAGTAGAAAACTTTGACCTAAACAGTCAAAAAGTAATCTTCACATAAATATAAAAATAGCACAAATTATAACATAGTGAATTTTTCTGTAATAACCCAAACATTGGGTCAGTGATAAAAGTGTAAGGATTTAAAATTTAGTAGTTTAATTTTGATAAATTGAAAAGTTCAATGACTGATTTGAAAATTTTTGTCTAGGATTTATGATCAAAGATTGAAGAATGAAAGGGCATAATGGTCTTTTTAGCAGGAAATGGATTTAAAAATTCATTTTTTAAAGATATTTAAACATGTGAGGAATAGGAAAAAGGAAAGAATATCCTAGAAGCCTTCACCTTCATCTTCTCCTTCCTTTCCACCGTGAACCTCTATTGCCAAGGTGAGTTATTTTTTCAAGTTGGTTGTTTCTTGAATTTTTGGGTTGGTTTTGAATCTTTGGTTGGTATAGAAGCTTAAGGAAGCTTAAAGATGAATAGAAGATAAGGGATTGAGGAATTAATGGTTAATTAGTAAAATGAGTTTTTAAGGGAATTGATGAAATTTGATTAGTAATTGGATTTTAAAGGCATATTTGACTTGTCAAATGTTTGAATAAGGTATTTAAAGTATTAGAAAGGATTTGGAAACATGTTTGAAGAATGTGTATGATTTTTGTTTAAGTATTTTAGTGAAAAGTTTGGATGTTAAAAGCAATTTAAGTGATGTAAATTGTTTGTAATAAGTGTTATTGAGTTTAAGGGTTTGATTGGGTTAAGAGTATGAGAATTAGGTGAGTTTTGGGTAAAATTCAAAGTGAAATAGGTGAATTATGAGAAAGGGTATCGGTACTAGAAGAACAATATCGATACTATAAGGTTAAATTGAAGGAAATTTTATGAATCAGATAAACATTATCGATACTAATTGAAGTAGTATCGATACCAATGGTAAGGTACTGATACTGTAATTGAAGATGAAGTTCCAGAATGCCATAATTGTATCGATACTGAAGTAAGTATCGGTACTATAGAAGAGAAGTTTTGGTACTGTGGGTAGAGTACCGATACTATTCAACCTGAAATTGTGAATTAGATTTTTGATTTCATTTATGTAAAGATCGATTGGTTATCAAATAATTGAGCTATGATATTTATATTGTTCATGTTAATGTTTAGATTTTGATCGAAAGCACGTACCGAACGAATGGATGTAGTAAAGATATTGAACAAAAGTGAAAAAGATTTGGCTTAGGACTTAAGTGAGGAAAAGGTGAGTGCAACTTATTTATTTTATATTAATATGAGGACGGCTTGCGATAAGCCAACCTCGAAGGTTTTCAATAGTAAACAATTTTATTTATTTTATGCAATATCAGTATGATGTTTTATTCAAATTGTATTTTCGAAGTATTGTTTTGATTTTATTAGTATGTGAATATGTTATACGTGAAAATGTTTTATGTGAAAATGTTCTATGTGAATAAATGATACTTTGAAAATGTAATGTGAAATAATTATATGATTAAAGCCCAAGGTATA